AATGCTCATCCCTGGGATGGTAACGCGTTCTACCTCATGAACAGCTGCTCATGCAGTAACTATTAGTCACTTCACAAATCACACCCTGATGCACATAAGGAATACTGAAGTTAGTGCTAGTTAACTTAATGTCAGGCTGTCAAATGTAGAGCGGTAGTTTGCTGTTGTTGCAGCAGGGACAGGAAATTCCAGGAGGGTTTTGAAAGCACCTTTGGCAGAAGGGTGGTGAACAAGACAAACTCCCAGAGCCTAAATTAAGACACCCTTGCTTTTGAATCACAGCAAAGTTAAGCTGAATTAATAAGTGCTGGAGCAAAGAGAATCAAACCCAGGTGAATGCTTTAAAGAGACCCTTATGCTGAAATTTTAAGTAGTTCCATCTATTTTAGACACACACCTAATTCATCTGGACTCATATTCCAAATATTCTCATACACCTAGTCCTAAAAGTGCCATCACAATTAACCTTCAAAGCAGATGAAGTAAAAAACCTCAAATATCTCACAAAGGCACTTGACCTTGGAAGAAAAAAACCTTTCCACCAGGACTAAGACCTCATTTTCAAACACACTACCTCCGGCAGAGAGGCCATTGCTGCCTTTAGACTGCCCACTCATTCCCCTCCACAGCACCCCAACCACTCCTCAGGTTAGCACACACACTGCTAAGGCTGCAGCTAACTGGTCAGGAAACTAATCCAGGCCGGAACTCACCCAGCCAAACAGATACTTATTTCCATCCAGACCAGGTCTCTGTGTGCCTAAACACTCAGGCCAGCCAAAAGAGAAGTGTGGCAAGAGGGTTTCTTCCAGCACAGTGTTAAGCTTTATGTTCAGGGATCTACTGCCTCAGCATGGAACACATACCACACTTTAAACCCCTTAATTTACATTTATGTTCTTGATGCTTCTGCACTTCTGCCTGGACTGATTTGTTCTCTTCATGCTGGCTATTCTTCATGCAGCTCTTGAGGTCAGAACACACTCTGGAACAGATGAGTCCTTCTAGTGAAACCACACAAAAGAGAAAGGGGAGGGGGGGAACAAAAGCACTGTTTGAATGTTTAACAGATCATGTGTAGCCCCACACCTCTAATACCAGCAGCATTGGTAACTGCTTGAGGACCCTTTCACTTATCAAAAAAAAGCTGTAAACAAACGAAACAGAGGAGTATTTTAATCAGCTTGAATATTTTTCACCAGGATGACTGAACTCACTGTATAAACTCCTCTGTCTACCTGTTCTCACACTAACATTTACAGTTCTTACAACCTGAAGCTCTGGATGCCTCACATCAGATTAGGAGTGTAATGTGACATTTGAGAGCTGGCTATGCTAGGCCTACTTCAGAAGGCCTTTTTCTCCTGTGCTGTGAAACAGCAAATCATACCATCAAAGGAGATTTCCGTTGTTAAAGAGGTGTAAATTAGAGCAAGTATGACTCCCTACATATTGTCAATGCAGCAAGTACCACTATCAATAAAACAAAATCAGCTCTACCACAATTCTAACCTTGCTACCCCCAGGAGGAGCAGCCTCTGTTCAATGAAGTCAGCCTCGTTACCCTTATCAATTAAGAGCTTAAAATAGTCACATTTTACAGGACTACAATTTACAAGACAGCACATTATTTCTTATCTGTAGTGCTTGTCAGTCCTCAGTGTGCACACGTGCTAAAAACCCTGGGAGTGGTAAGGAAGTCCACAGGAATAATCCTCAAGCAAGGCACATTCTAGCTGCACTCAGTGATGCAGGCCAAGTAGTGCTGGATTTCACACAAGTGCAACATCCTTTGAATTTAAGCACCTTCCCCCTCCTCCTGGTTCTTCTGACATTTATTTAGTACAAGGCACTCAAGGTTGGGTCCTGGCTGCGTTTTTCCCTTGGCAAGACTATTTTTAATTGTTTATCAGCTTCAAAGAGCACTGCTGATAAGCTTGTTGGAGCTGTGGATGCTCAATGGCAGTTAGCTTTAAAAAAAAAAACCCACTTGGAATTGATGCCTTTTTATTTAACACTTACACTGTAAAAATCACCAATGCTAGATACAATCCCTGGCCAGGAAAGGGGATGCTCAGAGGATACACAGGGTGTGCTCTACTGCTAAGGGCATACTAAGACTGCTGATGCAAGCTGCATCCTTGCCAGATTCTGTGCTGTGCAACCCTGGAGAAGACCTACCATTTCCTAAAATTTACAACCTTGTCAATTAACAGAGAACAGCCCTAAAAGTGAAGCACTTCTCCATTCAGAAGACACTTGATACAGAATGAACACCTCCCACTGGAACTCCATCACCTGAGAAGTTTTGTCACACACACCACGACAATAGATCACACTGAATTGAAAGGAAGCATCCTTTTATCTACTATTCTTTTATCCTAACCTTGGTTTTCCTGAAATTTTGAATCAAGAAATAGCTTTCTCCCATTCTTCAAGCCTGATGTGCTTGACAAAGGAATTATCAGTGGAGAGATCTG